TTTCTCACACAATTAAAATCCAGAATTTAGACTATCAAAGTTGGAGTGATTTTTCTGTATAAGAACCCATATATTTTTCTTTGCCAGGTTGAACAAGTTCTTACATTTTTGGGTATTTCAATGCCAAATTTCAGCCTCAAGGTTCTTATATGCAGGTTTTTACTGTATCACTGGATCTGAGATTACACCATTGTACCTCTCAAAATTGTGGAATACTGAATACTTTCTGACAAATGCATTCTTATGACTGGAAAAAAGCTTAGAGGCCTCAATGTCACTCGACTTTTTTCACTTCGTCTCTCATTTATTCCCGCTCTCCCTCGAGGTTGTTCAACCGGTTAAAACAGGTTTTCGATGGACGTCACTCACGCGTCAGGTGTTACACCAGCATCCATTTCAACTCATTTCCGATCGACTCTCTGATAAATGTAACAAAAAGAAACAACCAATTTCATTGCCTTTAATTAACATTATACACCTAAAATCCACACGTATTAGATAAAAAATTGCATATAGTGTTTGTCTTTCTGGCATTGTTATAGAGGTGGAATTTTTCCCCCATCATTCTATCGTAAGGCAGTCATTAAGAGTTAAGCCCGGTGTTTCCAGTTAAAGTAATTAATTATAACTTATAATTGTAGCCAAAGAGAAGCGACATATTTTTCCTATAAAAATGCTAGAAATTTATAAATATCCTTACAGAGTTTACTTGTTAATCAAATTTTAAATCTAAAGTTTCTAGAAGCAGCCTTACAGTTATTCCTTACTTTCCTAAGCGAAAAGTGACAAAGCCTTTCATTATGACAAGATAATGTTGAACTTTGTTCAAACACTTGACATATGCTTGAACGCAACTTAACTATAACTACCCTGAGTTTGAAACGTGAGTGTATTGGTACTAGTTTACTGACTATGTAAAATTACCTCGTGACATTTAAACCATTTTCGCCCTAGTTGTTGTAAAAAGTACCTGATAAGTTATTCGTATTAGTGGGATAAGCCACCCATGGAATTAAAGGAGCTTAGTCACGATATTTTGAGTTGTTCTGGCCACGTACAAAATCACCTTTCAATTGAAGGAAATAACAGTTTACTAAGATAGAAATACACCAAGGAAAAAATAATAAACCATAAAAGAACAAGGATGTTTAAGGATGGAGAAGATTAACACGGATTACAAATGAAGAGCTTGAAAAATATGGCCTATACGTTTCAAATGCGCAAACTGTGACTTAGCTCCTTTAAAGATGCCAAACCAATGGAATAAGGACATTATGTACATTTGATTTCTCTTTCTCCTCATTTGCGTTCTGCTTAGTCTGCTGGTTTGTCCATGGGGTGATAACCAATCTGGGCCCATCGTAAAATTATGCTGGTTGCTTTTTAATTTTGAAAACAAAAAATTCAAAATATTTTTCGCGTAAAGAAACTTGCCAACCCGAATCCTGAGTTGGTACACAAAATCACATCAAGCGATATTATGTGGCCGTGTCTCGTAAGGACTGGTAACTAGTACCAAATTTCACAAATGTGATGGGCCAAAATCGATATTGCCCGCGGTCTAGGATACGAAATTGAGAAATTTTTGTAAGTAGTCCAGAAATTAAAAATACTCACTACAAGACCAAGGTAATATTAGAAGCTAGAAAAATTAAAAAACAAACCAGTCAGTGAGTTCGACCTTCTTCTGACCAAAAGTTTTCATCCCAGTTCGCAAGCAAAACGGCAGCGACTATGAACCGGCTGCATAAAGCGACTTTCAGCGAATTGTAGTCTTGTTTGGCCATGTAATAAACATCTTATCAACCGAGCTTGACTGCGTTCGGTCTGTTCTCACGACCACGGTCAAGATTGTCGTATACAGACTTCCTGATCTAAGTACATTTTGAGTTTGAATTCCTTGTTACATCATTCTGCATGTAAAAATATCACATTTTAATCTACAATTTAATTTTGTGTCAGATATTATATTCTCTGGCGGAACAACGTGTACACATCATTTCCTACGAAGAGCATTGACAAAGAAATATTTCGTCTACCGTTGCATAGTTATAAGGTATTCCGGATAACACTGATTGTCGTAAAATACAACAAAAATAGACGGATTTACTCGATTATCAACCACTGATTCATACAATATCTCTGGTCTTGAAAGGTTCTTTGGGGGAGGCACTTTCAATGTAGAGTTGCCTACGCAATACTGCCCGACCAGGACCCGGGCAAGGTACATGTAGCGACCCCCGGCATCTCCCATCCTTGCGTAACCAAGTGAGTAAGAGGCGTCTCTTGCAAAATAAGTACCTTGTCCAAATCTAGTTCCTAAAAAGAAACACAAAGTGTTAGTGAGGCGAAAGATTCCAACAAATAACAGCATGGCAGTCGAACCTCTCTAATACGGACACCGAAAGGATAGAGCGAAGTGTCTGTGTTAGAGAGGTGCCCATATTGAAGAGGTCACTATGATGAAGTCACTTTTAAGACTCTTCTGACAGTTTAGAGCGTTTAGTAACTACAATCAGGTCCAAAAGTGAGTGTCCTGTGAATTTCTGAATCTGAATGATAAAGTGTCAATATTTGTGTAACAACCGACAGGAAATGGTACATACCTCAAATTATCGACACCTTGTCTCCGGAGTGTCCGTAATAAAGAGGTTAACAGTTGTATGAATTTGCTCCCTATGGCCGAGATGTAGTGTCCGTTGTCCGTTTTAGAGAGGGTCTTTGTTATAGAGGTTTTTTTTTTACAGGAAATGCCGGTATGTGAATTTTGTCGATACATAGGAAACTAACTGCATTAGAGCGGTGTCTGTATTAGAGAGGTGTCTGTATGGAAAGGTTCGACTGTGACAAATGAATAAAAACTAAAGCTTAATTTTATACAATCGGAAAAAGGTAACTATGATCAGAAAGAGTGGATATTTCTGTAATTTACTCGCTTGAAATACGTGGCCCAAGGAAATAAAGAGGGAGAGAACAGGTCTTTCATATGTGACCTCTTCCAATTAAAATTATTTCAATCCATTGTCAGTTGTGTCTCAAATTGTATGGCTATCTTAATATCGACACCTGACTGAGAATTTAGACTGACGGCATGTTACTGTTTCTTTTAAGGGATGACCGCGCGGTCGTAGCAACGAACAAAAATAACCCGGTGCAAGCTCTAAATATCTTTCTAATAATGGTCCACGGGGATTCTTTCATTATTTTCTCTGTTTCACTCGGGATCATGGATTGCGCAATTGTGAGAGTGCTCGCCTTCGACCATTGTGGTCCTTGTTCAAATTCTAGACCTGCTGAGGTTTTTTTCTCCAGCTGGTCTGGTTCTTCTCCCTTTCTGCAAATTGTAATTAGACTTCGATGCACAACCCAGATAAATTGCAAATCTCGCTCTATCATAACTGTTACATTCGTTACACAACCCCCTCACCTTCCAAAGCAATAGCGTAACCACTTACCATGGGCCCCACATAAGCTTCTGTTAAATCCTTGAGTGTTAATGTGGCTGACATTTTTAGCGTCGGTTCCATGAAACAACTGCCGTTCACTACTCCCACCAATGTCTTTGTCCATCTTTTGTTTTCTTACCATGTAACACTGGTAAAGATGAGGATTCTGAATTCGTTCTATTTTCTGAATATGCACTCCACCAGCGGTAGCCTGGAACTTGCGCGTGACGTCGTAATACTCAGAGGAAGTTTTCAAGAGTGGAACCAGGTGCACTGTCATGTCAGCGCTTGGCATTTTCGTCCAGTGTTTGGGAAGGGGAATTCCTGAAGACAGAAATGGTTACCACCTTTACCTTTTTGCAGTGTATATCAAAATAGAAACAGAGAACACCATCAGTTATTTTTTCAACTGATGAAAAATGAGGTTACTTCGTTTTTTTGAAGAAACCGTTCAAAAATTCTTAAATGGGCCTGGGAAAATTTAAAAATTGCGCGGTACTGGTAGATATGCATATTTTCAGCTAAATCTCTAGCATGGACTGCCTTTGAATGGAAAATCTTGGACAGTACTTTGGTCCAACAACTTGGAAAATATTGGGCCAGCTGTAGCGCCATCTAATTGGTTGATTTTAGTTATTGGACCTCTGTATTAAACAATTAAAAGGGGTTATTAAAAGGGGTTATGGTAACAGCGTTTTTCGCAAAACTAACTGATGTAATACTGTGACTAACCTTCTTCAACTCCCTTCACCTTTCTCTTCAGTGTAATTTGTTCACCGGTTCGTTGTCCGCGGCCAGTTTTTGACTTCAGATCAAGGATAAACTTCTCTCCACGTAAAGATACTCTAACTGTGGGCGCAGCTTTGCTGCTCGCAATCTCAATCTTCGCTTTTGCTCTGGGATCAAAAACCTTTTTACTACCGCGTATTTTGTAACTCCATTCTATGTTACTTGACACCAGTTGCGCCTGTTCTTCCTCCTGGTTCTTCTTTGTTCTCTTGCTAATCTCTTTCCAGATCTCCCCGACCATGCCGGACACATCAGTCGGTTGACCTCGTGAGACAATGCGATTAACATCAGCCTCAACTTCAAGTTTGACGTCACGGTCTTCGGCTTTTCTTCTCAGTCTGACAATCTGTTTATGAGAAAGTTGACTAACAACCTCATTTTCGACTTTTTCCGTGGTACAAGCTTCAGAAAAACTTCTCTTCAAAGATTCCACGGCCTTGTCCACGCCTTCACTGTTCTTGCCGAGGACAAAAATTCGTACGGAGTGTTCTTGACTCGGGCGGTGCTTTCGTCTCCTTTCACGCTTTCTTAGCATTCCAGTATCTGTATCATTTGATATTGAGTCTAAATTTGTTGAGACTGATCGGTCCCTTCTAAGTCCTCGAAGTTTGGAACAAATACTTTTGTACAGCCCACTCGCAGTGTAGGCAGGAGTGCGGGTTTTGTGCTTGACTTTCAATTTGTCCATCTCTTGTTTGAAGGCAGCATTCAATGCCTGATCTTGCTCGAACACAACGAATCGGATATCCTCCACTTTAGACCAAGGGTTAGCTTGGCAAAAGCTAATTGTTTCTTCTAACATGATTCTCGAGGCTGCATCCCGTGGGAAGCTGAGGTTTTCAGTTCCTATGACAGGAAACGCAATGGACTTCACTCCAAGCTCTTCTCCCTTTTGCAGACACTTTTGGACGATGGCCTGTAGAGACTGGAGCAAAAGGGAAATTTTGTAAGAGTGGACTTCAAAGGTGAACCATATAATGAGTACTTTGCGAGAAGTCCATTTATATCTATATATCTTTCCTCTCACTGATTCTACAGAGTTTTACGAGAACTGAGGCACAGTTGACAGAGAAGCCTAGCTAGTTATCATCTTGAAGTTGATAAAGTTGAATTAGCCCCCCAGTCAGTTAGTTGCGTTAGCCGTTCTTCGGAGCAAAGTGGGTGATTGTGGTTTGCATTTGGAGTGTTGATTTTTTGCGAAGGAAGAAAAAGCGGAGTTCCCTGAAAAAACTATTGGAGGGGGCAAGGACGAGAACCTTCAAGAAAAACTCAACCCACATGGGATTCCTATAAGGGCCACATTGGTGGGAGGCTAGCGTTCTCTCAACTGTGCCACCCCTACTCATCCACCGTTGTGAAGCATCAGTTTAAAGTAAGAATACCGGTAAAAATACGCTTACCGCCTCCCCTTTGCCACCATTCCATGGACCACAGGAAGTGTTGATCACGTGATTAGTCAATGGAAAACCAGGAGAGACAGCACTGTCTCCAGCGTTTGGAGGTGTCATTAGAGAAACACCAGCCTTTGTAATCGCTTGAGAGGTTGCTCCGACCGAACAGACCAATGCATCAGCCCGTAGTTTAAAACAAAACTTCAAGTTAAAATTGCAAAGTACCAAATAAAGGATAGCAAAACAACGACAATTAAGATGGAAAAGCACCAAAGAGATAAAACTAAACCGGCCAAACGACATACTTGAAAAATGTAGGCTAGACTTTTCAAGATGCATAAACCGTGACGTAGCTCCTTTAATTTGAGGTTTATGTTGCTTAATTAGATTTTGAGCAGCCGGGTTCTGGAGGGTATTTGAGAAACACGTTGATAAAGAAGAAAACTAGCTAAGAACTAGATTGTGCTGTCGCTAAAGGAGATTACTTAAGTCGGGATTTAAAATGGGATTGAACGAAACAAATTCTAAAGGGAATTAAACTGTGTGATAGTAGAGCAGAATCACAACAGACAGTTTAAACATGATGGGCTATCTAACTGCATTTGCACCTGCTTTCAGTGTTACGTGCATAGGATGTCGCCTATGCACGTAACGCTGGATGCGGGTGTAAATGTCTTTAATCCGATTGATAGTTCAGTTGAAATGATCGATTTATAATTGACAACTAATCAAAAGTAGCACTGAATACACAGGTTTGCTCAACACTCACCTTCTCCATCTCAATCATTCCAGTTCTCCACGATATTTTGTGNCCACGTAAAGATACTTGTACTATGGGCTTATCTTTGCTGCTCGCCATCTCAATCTTGGCGTTGGCTTTCCGACCGAAATTCATTTTACTACCATGTATTTCATAACTCCATTCTATGTTCATTGCCACCAGTTGCGCCTGTTCTTCCTCCTGGGTCTTTTTTGTCCTCTCACTTATCTCTTTCCAGATCTCCCCGACCATGCCGGACACTTCAGCCGGTTGACCCCGTACGACAATGCGATCAACATCAGCCTCGACTACAAGTTTGACGTCACGGTCCTCGGCTTTTCTTCTCAGGCTGACAATCTGTTTATGAGAGAGTTGACTAATGACCTCACTTTCGACTTTCTCAGTTGTACAAGCTTCAGAGAAACCTTTCTTCAAAGACTCCACAGCTTTTTCCACTCCAGCTTTTTTCTTGCCAATCACACAAATTCGCACAGAGTGGTCAAGACTTGCTTGTTTTATTGGACTTTTTACACGCATTCTTGGCTGGCCAGCATCTGTCTCATCTGAAGATGAGTCGCTTTCTTCTTCGTCCACATCTTGCATTGAGTCTCTCCGCTGCTCTTGCAAAAATTCTTGGATCATCTGAGCTTGAAATACAACCACTCTCACTTTGCGAACACTCTTACAGCTGCCATTGAAGTTGTTGAGCGCTTGAAACGTTACCTGAGCCGAGTCCGCCGCGGCCAAGCCATATCCGCCGGTACCAACACTTGGAATTGAGATCGATCGAAGGTTGTGTGCATCTGCAACACGAAGACCCTCCTCCAAACATTGCTGAAGATGTTGTTTATCTGAAGATCCCGGAATTATGTGAATGATGTGAGATACTTGTAAGTTCCCGCCACTGGTCATCACAGCTGAGCCCGCGGACTGCTTTCCCAGCTGGCTACACTCTTGCTGCACCTGTTGACCGCTGGCTCTTGCTATTGCTTTGCTCAAGTCACCGGCGTTATTCATGTTCATATCTGCGCTGTTGATATTCATGATGGCGTCGGTTCTCTCTTGAGTTAGATCACCATTTATGACTTCCACACTAAAGCGGTGATCCTTACCAATGGGTGCAGCCGTGCCTCCACTAGAATACGAGAAGTGCCTCTGGTTCTCCTGCTGAAATGACTGCAGCATTTGAGGTTGGAAGACCACAATCCTAACCTTACGAATGTTGTTGAAACTTCCGCTAAAGTTGCCAAGAGCTTGAAATATCAGGCTAGCTGAGTCTACAGCAGACAAACCGAATGCTCCAGTTCCAATTGCTGGGATAGAAATGGACTGAAGACCTTTTGTTTCTGCAAGACGAAGGCATCTTTCCACGCACTGCTGCAGATGATCCTTTGTCGCAGAGTCTGGGATCATGTGAATGATGTGATGAGCTTTTAAATTCCCTCCACTAGTAATCACCGCTGATCCACCCGACTGCTGTCCCAACTGGTTGCACTCAGCCTCCACTTGAGGACCACTTGCTAGTTTCACTGCCTTGCTCAACGCTCCTGCAGTCTCCATATTCATGTCTTTGCTGGCTATATTCACGATGGCGTCTGTTGTCTCCTGGCACAAGTCACCTTGCAGAACCTCGATATGAACACCCCCCGAAGAGAGTGGGACCCTTCGTCGGAACCTAGAACGAATACTGCTTAACAGCCCCCTCATAGTGTAGGCAGGACGGAATTTGGATTTCAATTTGTCCATCTCTTGTTTGAAGGCAGCAGTTAATGCCTGATCTCCCTGGAACACGATAAATCGAATATCCTGCACGTTAGAATAAGGATTGTTTTGGCAAAAGCTGATCGTTTCTTCTAACATGATTCTCGAGGCTGCATCTCGTGGGAAGCCGAGTTTTCCAGTGCCTATGACAGGAAATGCAATGGACCTCGCTCCAAGCTCTTCCCCCTTCTGCAGAGACTTTTGGACGATGGCCCGTAGAGTCTAAAGTAAAAAGGAATGGCAAAAATTGACTGAACAGTAACTCTCCACCAATAAATTTTCAGGCAAAGAAATCGAAGGGTTTTTTTATTTCGTCGCGGGATTGAATTTGTATCGGTCTCGATCTTCCCCAAACGGTAACTAGCTTTGCTCATTTTTTGTTCTTTCCATTGGTATTTTACTACCTTGAAATATTGGGAGAACCAAAGAAAGCTGTGGAAACACTCGCCTGCATGTTCATTCTCCCTAACCTTTTATCGTGTTTTCATAACGCCATGGAAACACGTAAAGTGTTTCCTACTTCTTAAATGTTACTTCAAGGTAAAGAAAGAGCACTATTCATTCGGTAAATATACCTACCACGTCCCCTTGGCCACCCTGCCACTGGCAACAGTTTGTGTGGATCACTTGCTTGGTCAAAGGTAAACCGGAATTAACAGTAATGTCTCCAACGTTTGGATTTGTCATTGCAGGAACACCAGCATTGACTATCGCTTGACAGGATGCTCCGACCGAACTGACCAATACGTCAACCTGCAATTCCGGTTTAAAAAATTAATTCGTGAAGAATAAACAGTAAAAAAAATACACAACATTTATTAGTTAGCACTGAGAGCGCGGAGAAAATCCAGCAATTCCCCCGCGGGTTTGGGGAGGGTGAGATAACGATCAAGCGCCTTATATTAGACTTATCGGCTGAGCGACTTACAAATCCCAGTGACGTTGGGATCCCAGTGCCTTCAAGCTAGAAGGTTATCGCTACAGACGATCTACATCAATCGTTCTAAACAGAAGCTGATGACCAACGTAATTAAACACGACATGCCGTAACTATTATTCCCCTGGGGGAAGGCTACTCCCAGAAAAATTGGGTGGGTGTGTGCGGACCGCTTCCCAAAACTCTTGCCCCAATCAAGACCAAAATCTGCGATTTTCCGTACCCAAACCTGACCAAACATTCGATAGCCTATTTAATTAAGACCTCACACTTAAATCAATACCCTCTTTCAGACCTGCCTTATAATTAGTTTCCTAGCTCAGACCGATGTTGAAGGCATTGTGAAGGGTTGTAAAGAACAAACCTTAATATAGAGCGGTTTTCAATTGAGTGTCGTAAAATCAAAATCAAAATAATCGCTCTAGCCAATCACAAAGGACATAGACAATACAGTAAACCAATCAAAACTCCAAGTAATTACATGTAACTGACGCAATTCAAAGCGCGGGAAAACGAGTGCGCACGAGTCACGATTCGGTTTGGTTTTACTTCTGATTGGATGAAAAATTGGCGCGAGTTTTTTAAGCCAATCGTGTGGCGGAGTGCAAAACCAATCACTTTTCGACAGTCAAGTGAAAACCGCTCTATGTAGGAAAACAAAGACCGTAACAAGAGAGTGCGCTATTTATGTAAAATTCAATTTTGGTTGAAGAGCCAGTTAATTTTAGTTGATGAAGAACGAAAAACAATCAAAGAAGTGTAGTTGATTAATGTATTGTGCACTAAAGTACAGCTTACAAACGTTTGCCAGGTCTTACTCTAAATGGGATTAATTGAGTGACAGACAGTTAGGAAATAAGGATTTTCCTGAAATCTGACGAGCTGCAACTGAATTAAAAAGTCGAGGTCGTGAACTTCCGGGTAGCTGTCGTGATTGATGGCTCGCTGACAACTAATCAACTCTAAGAATCGGGCAACCTGGCCTGGGGGGACTCCCAAATGAAAAGGTCGGGGTTGCTCGTCGTCTCGATTAGGGGTATGAATCAAGGATTTTGGTCTCTTTTTGGTCTTCATGACAAAACGCCACTCTTTTTAGCTGTCAAAGTACTTTTCAGCTGCAAGGTTGACTCGAAGAAATAATAGTTAAAAAACGCTCTTATTTCCATTTTTGGGCTCGATTTCCACCGGTCTCTCTATTCCGGTCCACTAGTGCGGGCTTCTTTCCTGAACGGCGGTTGTTAATCGAGAATATTCTGTTTCAAGTGGTTTCTTTTAGGGGACAAATAGCGAATGAGCCACGCCCAGATTAGTCTCCTATATATAAGGGCGTGATTCAAATTTTTCCACGAGCATCCCCGACCATATTATATGGGAGTCCCTGGGTACTGAAAAGAGATCAAGCAGTTTCGCTGTACACTCACCTTCTCCATCTCAATGTTTCCAGGTTTCCATGATATCTTGTGGCCTTGAGTCATCACCAAGGTAGACGCATCAGAATCGCTCACAGCAGCGTCGTCGTCACCTTCATCATCAACATCACTGTCATCATCGTCACTTCCAGACGAAGCAGAATCTACAGCCGCTGCTTGGCTGCGCGAGTCATCCCACCTTTGGCCAAAATTCTTGACTTGAATCGCACAGCTATGGTCCTTTTCCACTGATTTAACAAGACGATCTCCTTTACCACTGTCAAAGAACTTCCGAAGGCCTGGCTGTTTCACGTCAAATGTTTCAGACGCAGTGTCCTTTATGAGAGCGCCAAGCTTCTTTCTCGCACGAATCAAGCCTTCTTTGTTTCCAGAAATGTCAAAATCATCATCGCCTTTTCCTTTGTTAATCTTCACTTCAAAATCTTTCAGTTGGTTTTCAATGGAGCGTAAATCTTCCTGACGAAACTCATCAAGATACTTTCTGACAAACGGCGATGAACATACAAACTGTTCTTCCCTGATGCAGTTGTTTTCCAAGAACGTGTTAAGCTTCTTCATCACCTCTTTGACGTCATCCTGGAACCCAGCGACGAAAATGTCATTCCAGTTGTTCCGATGGATACGGACAGCTGTTTCAGTGTTGACTTCGTCACACAACCCACGCCATTCTGGAGTTTTCAACAAACATTCGCTCTTATCATTCACTTGGACTTTTTCGTTCAACGCCAGCCTGTTCACCAGCCTCTCGGCCTTGTCACAGTGTGCAGCTGACGTGCTCACAATTCTGGCACCGGAGTCCTTGTCAATGACGAACACTGCCTCCACATTGTTGTTTTCCAACTCACCTTTCACTTTCTTTAATCCCTCGTCCGAGCCCAAAACTTCCAAGATGACGTCGGGTAGAGCCAAGTTCTTTTCAACCATGTACGACATTTGTTTGAGGAACTTCGTCGTTGCTTCAGTAAACTGTGACTCAGGACCTTCGAAATAGATTTCTTCTCCTTTAGTGTCTAGCTTTATCTCCAGCTCCTTGTTGTTCTCTTGAAGTTTCCCCACAAACTTGATCTTCTCCAACAGAATTAAGTGTTCTTTTGGAACATTTGGAACTTTTTTCTTCAGGTAGGTTTTTCTGGTTTCCTCCCGGTATATGTCTTCCAATTTAGATCTCAACTTCTCCTCATAATCCTTTACAGCTGTGCTCAGGGAAACAATTCTTGCAGCAAATGAATCATCGATAAGTTTGACCAGCGGAGGATCTACTCCCAGGCAGGCGCGAATACTGGGTAACTGTGCCACCACGGCTCTCCAGGAATCCTTGTCGACTTGAACGTCGCGTTTTGCAAATTTAACGAGGTAATTTTGTACTTCATCAATGCACTCGGACTGCCACGAATCACTATTGTCTCCTCCCTGGTACACTATTACAGCTACTTTGGTGCTCGGTGTCCAGGTAATTTCACACTTCTTAGCGGCCAGGGAATTGCTCAGTTGATCACGAAATGCTGAAGTCATAACGAATTCCATTACATCCGGGTCTACAGCTATGTGTAGTTTTTGTCCTTTCATTTCGGACTGCTGACTCACTTGAGTTTTATCGGCGCCACCGGTGGTAGTTCCCAGTCCATCTGAATCATCTGGCTCGTCGCCTTCCTCGCTTTCTAGAAACTCATGGTAAATTCTGACTGACAGTCGTGCTTGGTTTAAGACATGTGGTTTTTCTTTCTGCCTAGCTAACACTCCTTTTATATCTGTGAACGAAGAAAATAAAACAAGAGAGTTATACCGTACGTAGAACCTTTTCCTTGGGGAGGATTTCAGTGTGTGGCTATCCCAATGCCATGGTTATCGTCTCTTAAGAACTGCCCACAAAAGATAGCTGAACCGTCACCATAGGTTAGAATTGGCCATTCCGAGTTGCCTTTTGCCTCAGTTTCAAAACGAGTGCTCGTGCCAAACGCTTCTTATGAAAATGAGTTTGATTTGCATGAAAATGAACTTATAGATGAAACGCATTTTCATAACAATGGCTTCGCATAAAGACTCGTTTTGACACAGAGGCAAAGGGCCACTCGGAAATGGCCTATTGTGTTACAAACCGTTTGGATCTTGAAACACAACCACAGCTCTACCACCTTTTGGTATAAAATCTACTCTCTTCACAGGACCCCCGCCGTTCCTTGGACTTTCAAAGTACAGTTCAATGGCATCATAGGTAGTATTATTCGAAATACCGCTGACAACAATGCTTGCACAGACAGGAACTTGTTCGATGGTAACCTTAGCTAAATCCAAGCCTTTTTCTTCGCATTTGGTCTTGATTTTACTGAAATCTAAGTGATAAAACAATCATTATCAGAATGAAAATTAATGAAAACACATGGAAATTCATGTCGCCTTCCCATATAAAAACCAAGCTAATTTACAGTACAGCTACATCTGTAAGAAGAAAATGCAAACCAACTCAAGAAATCTTCATCACTGTAATAACAGTGATGAAACAGGTTTCACTGTATACAAGTTATTGTGTCGAAAACTAATACAAACGGTGTGTTTCCTTATTATTAAGATAGAAGAACCCTTGGGAGCAATTAAGTACCTACTTCAGGGTTTGACATTGGCTGTAGACACTCTACTGAGGCGAGAACCAACACAAAAAAACAAACCAACAATACGCCCATTTATACTTGGAAAATAAGCCGCGGATTACACAAGACGCGGCTTAAATAAGACGCGAACTTACCGTATAAATGGTACATTTTAGCCCGTTCACGTCATAGAGAAGCCGCGGATAACATAAGCCGCGGTTTGTGTAAGACGACGGTTTTGAGCTAAGCCTAAATAAGCCGCGGCTTATATAAGGCGCGAAATCACTCGTATAAAATGGTATCGCGGTTTACGGCTTACGTAAGACGCGAACTTACACTGCGCAAGCACAAGGTTTTCCCGCGCTCGCTCGCTCGTTCGCGCAATTCCGCGATTGCTATGACAACCAACACAAAAGCGAGGCAATAGCCACGAATAAGCCGTGAACCATTTATACGAGCACTTCGCGTCTTATATAAGCCGCGCTAGTATAAATGGTTCAGTTCTCGTCTTATGGAAGCCGCGGATTGAGCAATCCGCGGCTTATTTTTCTCGTATAAATGGCCCTATGGTTTTGGCCCCTCACGCAGGCGTCTTGCGTGCGATTCCAATACCTGGTACCAGGTCAGGACTTAAGAAACATTGTTATACAACGCACTAATGTCCAGGATTGAACGCAAGTACTGTTTAAATTAGTACTTTATATTTGGCAGGGTTATTTAACATTTTCATATTACTTCATATTTGACAGAATTGTGTCTGTTTTGGTGACTTTTTACCAATGAGGACACTTTGCGATGCTTATCATAAGGAATTTGAATCTCATTAGTGTTCAATCCTGGACATAACTGATAAAAAGGGCTGAGACAAGAGAAACACAGGTACAAGAGAGATTTGTCAACCTCCAAAAAAACGCGAAGTCACACCTTAACTTCACTTACCAGTTATGTCGTTGGCCATTGTGATCAGAGCTTTATCGTTTCTCAGCATTACGTCCTCCACCTCTCCACCGCTCATTACCTCGATGAAGTTCACCAAGCAGTCTTCGGTCGTCCAGGCACTCAGTCCACTAACGAGTAACTGATTTTGTTGAAATCGAGACTGCTTTTTTGCTTTAGCCTGACAAGCACTCTGATCTCCACTATCCGTGAAACTTGACAGGCTCTGGGCAAGCCTTATTCCTTTCTGATCACACCCTATGTTACCACTTTCCCGAGACCTCCTGCCGTTTCCTTGACCGGATCTGTTTGGATCATCTCCCTCAAAAGGGCCTTGTAGACAGTCGTCACAGGTGCTGTGTCTCGCCAGATTACTGTCGACGACGTCAGACGAGAACATCTGACCTGCCTTTCTTCCATGAAGCTCCCTCTTATCTTGATACTGTTGGCTTGCTCCTCCCTCTGAATAGCACTGCCTTTGAGAGAACTGAGACGGATGATCGACATCCTGGAAACCTTGGCCAGGGGTCTGAAAACTGCTGCCTCTTCCCTTGTAACCTCGACCTCTGTTCTTTGTTTTCGGTTTCGGGGGATCTCCTCGGCCAACGCGGTGTTCATCGCAAAAAAGAGTTTTCCTGATAAGGACTGGAGGTAAGGAGCTGGATATTTTCGCAAGCTTTTTAGATGCTTCTTCCATCTCCTCGGAATCTTCTTCTGGTTTTGACTGTGATTGTGGTGGAGGTGAGGTTGATGTTGACTGAGCATGCGGTTGGGATGAGGTTGGTCTTGACTGAGCACGTAGTGGAGGTGGAGGTGAAGGTGAACGTGGAGGTACATGTGGTGGGAGTGTGTTTGTTGACTGAGCATGTGGCTGAGGTGAGGTTGATGTTGACTCAGAATGTGGTGGGGGTGAGGTTGGCCTTGACCGTACTTTGGGTGGGGGTGGGGCTGGTCTCCTGTTTTTATTTGGTGGGGGTGGGGCTAATGTTGGCTGTGCGCGTGGTGGGGGTCGGGTTCGTGCTGACAGAACATGTTGTGAGAGTGGAGTGGAAGGTGATTGGTCATCTGATGGGAGTAGAGGTGGTGTTGCCTGTGCACATGATGGGCCTGGGGCTGGTGTTGAATTTGGACGCGGCGGGGGCGGGGCTGCACGTAATGGCCGTAGGGGTGGTATTTGCTTTGCACGTGGTGGATGAGAGCTTGGTGGTGTTCGTCCTAGTGAATTTTCGCGGTCGTCATCATGTCCTACAGAGTCAATAGACAATAAGAGCGTAAAGTCGGTATATTCCTTTCCTGGCGTATCAGTAATATATCTCTAGGGAGTGGTGACTCCTATGATTATGGGACAGAGCATACTTGTCGGAATATTTGTATTATTCTGTTAAAGGAGACCAATATGGATATGGTTTAAAACAGAAAGAAAAATGAGAATTGTAGTGACTTAAAATGAGTTTCATTAAAAGAGATTTCAGGCCTGTTGACTAACGCAGAGCAACGGGGTGATTTTTTAAAATTCCTCTTTCCCTGTGACCATAAAAGATATCTGGCTGGGTAAAATCACTTGCTTTCCGTCCTGAGCACCTTATATGAGACCAAAATCTACTATTGCAATCCATAAAGGAGACTAGGAGGATGCCCCTGAGTTATCCGCGGGTTTCCCTTCATCCAATATACCTTACGGACATTTTTAAAACAAAACAGGAAATTTAAGTTGGATGACATATACGATTCTCTGACAGGGAGAGAGTCGCAAACATAGGAAGTCCAAGGAGACAAATGAGACACTGACTTAATAAAGGTAAACTTAGTAATTATTCATGCCTTTCGTACCGTCAGCAAAAATAGGAAACAGATCGAAATTATTTTCTCAAATCGTAAAACAAAAGTTGCTGTCAGCAACATTGTAAGCTATTCTTCGATGCTATTAACGGGTAGCCAAACATCAGCGATTAACAAGATCTCTTCGGCTGACTTTGCTATGATCGTTTTGCGGCCCAGAAGAGCAGGCATCTCATTCCAACATTATCATCTTCGTTCTGATAACAAGGGTTCGGGATTAGATAAAACCCCCCACCACAAATTGAAATTACCCTCTTCAGATTTGTAAATTAGCAACATTTATACATATAGTTGAGACTTTCAGAGTAGCTGGAAAGGTTTTCGTATGAATACATTGATCAAACATGGACAGCCGGAATCAGCGAAAACAAGCGCAGGATCTTAAACATCTTGCATTGCAAGCTTAGCTAAGAAAAACGAAAAACAAATGAGAAGCCATCCTAAATCAACAGCAAAGTAGGTATTGCTACGCTTCCCAGTTGAGCGCGGCACCACGCAAGTTTCAACAGAAAGTTTTGACGTCAAAACTTTGAGGTTTCCGATGGCAACGAGAATGTATCCAATGGGAACAAAGCGCGCGAAAAGCTTTCTGCAGAATACAGAAGCAAAAACCGACACAACGTAGGATGATTTTTTGAAGGTGTACTATATTTCGGCTGGCCAAACCAGCCTTCTTCAGGTACAATGGAAAATTTTACATTGGTACGTGTTTTTATGTAGCCGATATTTTCGTAATACCGGAAATACGCAAAAGTAATTGATAGTGTAAATTAAAAATTAGCATACGGTAAAATAAAATAACACGATAAAAGAATACAACAAAAGAAAACAAATGAAAACAATTAATATGTTTCTTCGTGAATGTTCAGACCATTAGGATCAATTGTTCTGCCTTTTTGAATTAAAAAAGTTTCCCTGGCCTCACGGATAGAGTCTCGGTTAGAAACGATTTTTGCGATGGGGATTAATTGCATTTCGTTAGCGGTGTGGTTAGGAGAGGACAGGAAATGTTCGGCGGCTGTAGTAGGTTTAGATTTGTTGTTAGGTTTATCTATGGTACGGCAGTGTTCATTAAATCGGTCTTTTAATCGTCGTTTCGTCTCTCCTATGTATTGTA